CTATCATCGACGAACACGCAATATATCCCACTTGGATATTATCAGTTGTGCGGCGTTGTCATCTACGTCTTCCATAATGAACGACTGAAAGACAAAATCAGTGATGTAGGGTTTGGGGACTGTCGAGTGGGCGCGATGAGCGGAACTCTAGCGAATAAAGGAGGAGTGGCGTATCGAATGAAGATATACGACTCCACCGTGTGTTTTGTAGTTAGCCATTTAGCAGCACATCAACACTTCTTGGAGCGGCGATATCAAGATTGGACCGAAATTTCGAAGATGAAGATCACATACTTAGACACGCAGACATCACAGCCCAAGAAAGTAGGGTTATTAGACCACGACGTAGTAGTCTGGATGGGGGACTTAAACTTCCGCATTGATTTGAGTGACGGTGACGTCCGCAAATTACTGCGAACAAAGAATTACATTGAACTTGCCAAAAAGGATCAACTTCTTACGGCCATGAAGAAGAAAATCATCTTCCAGAAATTCAATGAAGCTTCATTAACTTTTGCACCAACGTTTAAAGTGAAAATAGGAGAGGAGGACTGCGTCTATGAGGAGAATCGGATCCCGTCATGGTGTGACCGGGTCTTATGGAAATGTGAGAATGGGCATTATGTCCAGTCGATGTCATATATGAGTCACGAGATCTATACCAGCGACCACAAACCAGTGAGTTCGATACTTTCATTAAACCTTCAAGAGATCGACCACAACAAGAAGACTGAAGTGCTCACTTACTTAGAAAAAGTTGCGATGAAATATGAAGAGACGACACGGCCGAATGTTCATGTAGAGAACGATGAGATTCTTTTTGAAGGGGTTGAGTTGTTTGCGACGTACACGAAGACGGTGACGCTCAAAAATTGTGGGAAGTTTGGGGTCTCCTATGAATTTGAAGAGACGGAGGATTGTATCTACACTCACGACTGGTTAACTATCAAACAATGTGAAGGGTTTATCGACATCTTGGAGGGTCGCGACTCTATTAAAATCCCTTTGACTGTTTGTATTACTGAAGAGATCGCTTGGATGAGCCAAGACCGGAATTTCATGACTCAAGAGCTTTGGGTGCGTCTTGGGGATGGGAAAGAGCGGATCAAATTCACGGTGAGGGTTCGAAGTAGGGTTTCCTTAATTGGCATGCGATTGGAAACGTTGAATCGATTGGCAAAACCACTGATTGGAAACTCGAAGATGGTTATGAAGAAGATTCCCTTTCAAGTACCTAAGGAGATCTATAGACTAGTTGATTGGATATATAAGAAATATAGTGTTGGGTGTTTTGAAAGAGGAGAAACTAAATACACGAAAGAGGAAATGAAGAGTCTAGTTGACGTCTTGAGCTTAAACGCTGAATTTCAGAGCGAACGAGTCGGGCTGTGTTGCGAGTGCTTACTCTTCTTTTTGGCGAATTTGCACGACGCAATAGTGTCGATCGAGTGCGGCATCATCGACAACGATATGTTACTCATGCAGAAAATTAAGTTCCAAACGCCTGACGAACAGAGAATACTTTTTTTGTATATCCTTTGTTTCTGTAAGAAGCTGATTGAATTGGGGGAAAAGTTAGAGACAATCTCATCGCGTTTCACAAAGGCATTGTTTAGAGACGCCGATCAAGTCACTCTCAAAAAGCTCAAAAAATTTATAGAAAGATTGTTAATAGGAAAGGATCAATTCTCTTTATCAATTTACCAAAACTAAGGAGCCACGGCACGGCGGTTATTTATAGATTGTTTTTTAGTTTATTTATAGGTGTTGTCTAAATGGTCGATTGTAATTTAAGTATAGTTTATGTATAGTTTTAGTTTTGAGTCTTATTTTTTTTGGACAAAGGTTCTAGAAATGGTAATAGTATGGTTAACAATACTAAATAGTATAGATTATGTGTATTACTTATTTATAGTTTATGTTTACTAGAATAATAAAAAAAATCTTGAGATGAAAAACGAATAAAAGTAATTTTGGTGGAACGAGATGACAAAAGAGCAAATAAAATTGGTGAAAATGGTCGACTTGAATCCATCAAGCCACCTCTTCGCGGGGACTGCTGCGTCTTGGTTTATCGAGGAAAGCTACCTGTGTGCTTATGCCAACTACACAGAGAACCACTTTGTGTGTAAAGCAGTGAAAGAAATGGAGATAATGAAGCCCATCAATCTTGGAGACGTTTTAAAGTTTTCTGGCGTATGTAAGACGGGAAAAACCTCGGTGACTGTAACGATGACGGTGACAAGAAAAGAAGAAGTTGTAATGCGCGGGGTTGTTGTTTTTGTGAATATTGATGCCAATGGAAAGCCAGCACCTCTGTGTTTTGGAGACAATCCTCAATGAAATTTTCACTGTTAATTTTTGGGGACAAACCAAAATAATAAAAACAAAGTAAAGTGAATTAAAAAGTTACCATTTGGATTTTTGGTTTTATTTGCGATTGATTTTAAAACTCAAAAAGTACTCATCTCATTTCGCAATGAGTGATGACAGTAGTGAGTACTTTGACTTTCCACTGCAAAAGTTGGTAATAACAGCAGAGTATATCGTTTTGGCTGGACTGTGTTTGGTTCAGTCAATCCGGATTATTAAAAATCAGTTTGACTTTTTAATCACGCCTTTAAATTCCACTCGTTCCACCGTTTCTCTTTTTTCAGAATGACTGGGCATTTAAGGGTAGAATTTCAACATAAATTTTATATTTATTTATATAGAAGAAAATAAATAACGACTAATATAAAGCCACAAAATATGCGGGTTTCAAAACGTCTTAGTGCTTCTTCTAATGTTTTGGAGTATCTTTCGGGTTGTCGAAACGATGATTGCGTTTCTCTTGATTGTACTCGACGTGCATGAGAATGAAATCAATGCAATGAGTCCCGAAGAGTGGTTAATCACCGAGTTTGTTCCAAAAAACTATATTTTATCTATAACAAATACTACCGCCATAGAATAATACAAATATAGTAATTATATAATTAAAGAATAGTATTGGTACTTCAGTGATGTTATTTATCATATCAATAGTAATAATATATTACTTATACCTTTCCCATGAGATCATGAAGCACAAAATGAAGCGCCTGATAGTCGAGATACTGATAGGAATACTCAATGTGCTTTACTTGATAGTTTTAATAGTTATTGACATAGTAATGATCACGACAAAGTTGAGTGTGTACTTGCATGTGTCGTATAGTATTCGGTGTATAGGGTATACATTCATAGTGATTTTATTATTGTACTCATCGGTTGGAGTCTTTAAAGTCAATATTAGGCAACTTGAGCAATACCATCCAAAGCCATTTACAATGGGACTTGTCGGGTTAATAGTGTGTGTGTCGCTTTCGACACGAATTGTGTATGACTTCACAAGCGCGATATTGGGAGAGTCACTGCTGTCTTTGTTGTGTTCGACACCATCCGACTTTTGTCGAGACAACATGGGAGTCGCTTTCTTCATCAGCGAAGTCATCGAAACAATTTTAATGAACTTATGGGAAATCTTCCCTTTAATAGCTTTCGTAGTACTCTTCTGGAAACTCCCAAAACAAAATAGAAACATCACACCTTTTCCTAACATCGACGAACTAAGTTACTACGACGACGACGGATCGGGAAGCATCTTGTACGACGTCAAAACTCCACTGGTCCCTAAGTAAGGCGTCTGTCTGTAATACATTGACATATAAGTATGGTTGTTTTATATTTTATGTTTTTTACCTCAGAAATGAAGTATTCTAATAACAAACTAATAACTATAGAATTATTGTACTATTCCCGAGTTTTGTAGTTGACTCAAGAATTCTATTTGAATGGAATATTTAATTATAAAATATAGTTTTCCATTTTTTCGAATTGTCACGAGTGAATAATAAAAATCAAACAATTCGGAGAAATAAAAACTCAATTTTGAAACAGCCGATGTTCTCGACAAAAAAAGGGAATTTTCTACGTCTTGTTAAAATTGTTTTTAACAGATTTTTTTTGACTTAAAAGAATTCAAAGACATTTTTGAGAAGAAAATGTTTCTTCTGGTTCTAACAAAAATAGTAAACAAACTAAAGGAAATAATTCAACCCCTTAACTGAATAAAAAAGACAACTGAAAAACCGTGTGAACGCAGAATTAATGGCGGAGACGGTGTTTAAATGTGTGTGTGGGAACATTAGTGTCTCTTTGAAATCGATGTGTCAAGACTCTGATCTTCAAATGCAACACATTTTTACTGAATGGGCGAATCCGATATGCTCGACGGAAGGGAGTATAACTACACAATACAATGACTTAAAGAAAGTGCTAGAAAACACTCCCCAACGAAGGTTCAATTCCTTATGGTGTGAATTGTGTGGAATTGAAGTGTGTAAGTACCAACAGACTTCAACTCCACAAATGAGAACGACAGTGATAGTCAACCCCCTTCTCCGAGAAAGCACAGCAACACGCAAATTGCAGAACTTGATGTACTCCGAGACGTTTGGACTGTACATCCAACAAAGTGAAGTTGACGACGCAACAACATCTTCGTCGCATAATTCATCGCAAATTGATCGATTGCTGTCGCAGAAGAAGCAAGAGTACATCGACGGACTCTTCGAAGCGAAGGAGAAGCGCGTAAGAGAGTTTGTGATGCAACAAGAGGACGAGTTTGAGAACAAACGGATGGAAGTCAAGAAGGAGTTTTTGATGTTAAAGAAGCAATGCGAACGCAAAGCCTTGAAAGAGTCGACAGAACACTTCAATCCATCAAACACGTGGTACGTTGATCCTAAACATCAATCAATTCTCCCAGAAAGTACTCCGACAAATACAATGGGCGACGTCTTTTTCTTCGAAGAAGATGACGACGTCGGCTTTGAGAAGTGTGAAGTCATGTCCAAGAAAAAGGCCGACTCAAGAGTCTTTAACAAAGCAGGAAAAGATGGCAACGACACTTTCCCAACGTCTTTTAAGGACTTTGCTATTGAAAAGGAACACAAAGAGTCCGTCGAAAGTCTGTATTTGAGGAACACACACAAATTCGTGTGAGTAACTGGCAGTTTCGCGTCGTTAACTTTTTACTAATGAAATTTATTAGTAAATACAGAAAATAAGTGTACTAATATTTTTTAATTTAAATATTATTAATTATAACTTTTATTTCTTTTTGTATGGAAATGGTTTAATTATAAAATACTACTAGTACAAGAATAAGATGACTGTATGGGATATACTTTATTATAATATAATTATAATTACTAGAATACTCTACTGAACTATATTTATAGGATATATAATTAATAGAATATACATATTGAACAATTCAACGATTAAAGCCAC